GGGGAGGGCATAGCGCTGCGTCGTCTCAAGATCCATGTCGTGGGCACGAGCGGGCGAGTCGTAGTCGAAGAACGGGTGCATTGCTTGCACCTCACCGGCGTAGGCGTCCATGCGGCGAGCCGTCTCTCGCGACTTGATGTAGCCCCAGACCATGGGCGCCATGTCACGCTCGTCGTTCATGAATCCCGGGTCGAAGTCGGGAGTCTCATAGGGGTCAGCCGACTTGATTTGCACGAAGCCTCGGGAGAATGGGTACTCCAAGAAGTGAAACATGGTGAAGAATTTTCCAGGAGGCCTATGCGATTAGCGAGAAGCACGATTATATCTAGTGAAGTATCACTTACATGAGCATGTGGTCGCCAAACCAGCCAGAGATGACGGAATAGTGCATCACCGGCTTGTCAGGCTTGTCCTTGAAGTATGACTTCCAGCCTTCATTGAATTCGGGATGGGGCCAAGACTCGAACTCCTTCAATTCTTCCTCAGTTGGGCGGATCTTCACACCTGCCTCGATACCGTTGGTGGAAAGAGGACCAGTCCCCTTTAACGCCCATTCATCAAATACCTCTGGTATTCGGTTAGAACCTTGACGATACAGAAATGTGCTCTCAGGGATGCTTACTCTTCTGCACTTCAGGGTCACCTCGAACGAAGTCGTCGAAACTCTCAACATCTGGCTTCGCACGGTATACGGAAAAGGTCAGATAGTGGTCCTGGAAGTTGAGACCGACACCTGGGAGGTCGACGATGGGCTCGACTCCGGCTGCCTTTAGCTTCTCAGGGTCGCCTAGAAGAACGTTAATGAGGAAAAGCTCCACAATCTGATCTGAGGCACATACCAATGCCGGACCGCTGAAGGATGAGTGGAGAAGAAATGGTGCCTCCAGATACGACAATTTGCTTGCGCGCTCTGAAAGTTCGCGTCTTGAGTTGATTAGGGTGGAGAGGCTTCGTCGGTCTGAAGTCAAGTCAGTACCTCCGCAATTCTTCCGATGGTTGATCTGAACCTACACTGTCTGGACTGCTACAGCTCTGCCGTTCTCAATGATGACCTTGTCTACCTTGGTGTTGCAGGCAAGGTATAGATTGTCGTGGACAGCGCGAGTCGAGTGAATATATGCGTGAGCACTATCACTACGTCTACCAGTCTATAGCCAATGGATGGTGAGCCGTGAAGCCGAAGTCACTTAAGAGTAGGGAAACATACATCGCGGTTAATCCACTTTAGCCAGTGTTCAGCGCCGTGGCCGGTGGTCAAGTCTTGCAAGTCATCGACGACAGGGATATCTTGAGACTCTGCCGCCCTTAAGAAGTCGTCCTTGATAGGGTATGTGCTGAGTCGCCGTTAGTCTCATGGGCACCTAAGCTTGAATCACGATGACCAGCTTACTAATTTCCGAATGAGACTTTGATCGGTCCCTCGAATCCATGGATATCCCTTGGCTAATTAGTACTTCTCAAGACGCCGGAACGGCAGACTGACTTGTTGTGGCATGCTCGCTGATAAGTCTCATGCTTCTTCATGAGAGGAAGAAGTTCCTTGGTGGTCCACCCCTTGGCCTGGAAGTCATCGTAATCCGAGGCCGAAGCACGGGTGTACATCTGTGAGGTATCAAGTTAATGCCAGTTCGGCTCCCCGAGTTCATTTACGTACTAAGAAGTTAATGCTGGAACCGCCTCCGAGGACGTGGGCGCATGGAACTACTGCTTTTCGACCCGAAAGGTGTTTGGACGGGCGAGCTTCATAGAAGGACGCGGTTTTCGAGTCCAACTTCATGTTACGGGGGTAAACCCCCGGTCTGAACACCCATGGGTTGTTGAGATTACTCTCGCCGGCTTCGATGAGAAGAACCTTGAGGTTATGGTCAAGATTCGCCAAACTGTGCCGAGTCAGTACAAAAATTTCACGAATGGGTTCGTCTGAAGACTGAGACGGACCGCCCGGCAACCACACAGCCACAACTACCTCCTCCACACACGATAATATCGAACTCGTCTGGTAAAGGGCTCATGTCTTTTTGTTGCGCTTGGTCTCGACCGAAAATCTTGGAGAACATGCTGTGAAACGACTCCCAAGGGTCTTGATTCCCCTACTTATGTTCCATGGAAGAACTGAGGGGCCACGATCTACAAATATCTGAAGTGAGGGGAATCTATGAAGCCCTAGTAGGCCTCTCGTATGAAACCGCCAATGATCGTCTAACTCCTCTATTCAAGCTAAGGTCCTAGCCACAATCCCCCCAATGACCCTCGTCCCGGTAACTGTTGTTCATGATTGCCAGCTCACATCCGTGGTCATCTGATATCTAGCAATGCAACTCCTCTGCATGTCTGCCTCTAGCCGAGAAGGCCTGCTCGGATAAGTTGGAAAGGAAATCCCAAGAAAGCACTGCGGCACAGTGAGGGTTTCATCCAACCAGAGTTGGAACAACCAGGTTCGGTTCTGTCTAAACTGCCCTACATTAAGTGCTAGCTCTGGACTATCCACGTCACCAACTGTCGGTCGCCGCTCGCCCGTGGTGGCAGGTGCGCACTTCTCGAGTCGATATTAGCATAGAGAAGGAAATAAGTGAGGTGTCGCCTAGCAACGGCGTCTCGGTGAGGCTCGGGAAGTTGTCCTTCACAGCCTTGTGGTCACTCTACCCCTGTTAGCCCGCCACACTAGAGGTGTCTTTGCATATGTCTGTAAGTCCATTGGCCACTAGCAGACGCAGTTCATATGCAAGACGGATGCTAGAATGCGGGGTGGAAGCTACCTGAGGTCAAATACCCGTCAACGTGCATGCAGCACATGCTTCCCCGCAGTCTTCGAGGCGGGTATTATAGTTCGCGTATATCATCGGGGCTATATCTAGGTATCCTAGAGCAGCCTATTGCATGCTTAGCTTACGCCAGTAGTGGCCTTTGCCGCACCTTAGCGCTCAACGTTGACACTTCGGCTGACCAAAATAGTTCCTCGTGTCAGTGACAGGACAGGGTTGGTGGCTTCGAGCTCTCAGCTTGGATAGAGGCCGGGGATACCAATCATCTCCCGAGACGTCCAACCGTCTAATGTACGCTAAGTGATACCAAAACCTTTGCTCTGAAGGGTCTACTCCAACCCGCGTAAGCCGAGAGAGGGCACCCCTTTCCCTAATCAAGATATAGTCTCGATCGGCGACGCGTCTTCGGGCATTTCAAATATCACGAAGTTGAACTGCCGACGAAACCGTTGCTGGACAAATCCTGCCTGTGTTACTCGAGATGCACAACTATCTTTTCGTTACATTCGACTGCTGCAGTCAACGAGGGGAAATTGGAGAAACTGACATCTCATACTGCAACAGATAACCCGTGATTTATTCTTTCCGGCCAATTCGAGCCATCTACCCTCCACCCCCTTGAGCTCCATGGCCAATATCGAACCCTAGCCAGAGTTACACACATATTGATGGCTTCGGTGGGAACTATGCAGCGAGCCTATGAAAAGGCGAGACCCTCCGGATAGATTCAAACTTATTCCGGTGGCTATACCTCTGGATCGTCGTCATGATGAACACACCGGGTCAATCTTCCAATGGCTCTCTCCTCACTTCAAGTCTAAGCCCCCTTACTTCTCGCACTGCATGAGGTGAAGGATTCTGAGAGAGTGGACATCTATTCGAGCAACGAAGGAATAAATCATGATCTTTGCGTAGTATTTTGATCTAAGCGGCAGGCCCGCTCTCGCAGCAATGCCTTCAGTATGCATATCGGCGTTCGTGCTATAGGCAGTGCTATAGTATTACTATAGAATCGTGATTGGGAGCCTAGAACAGACGTTGAGCTGGGCGTCCTGCAAGAACGTGAAAAGGAGCGTGGCTTGCATACTGAAGTAGCCAGTCGGCTAAGATAGAACTGCTGGCCCCCACGCTGAGCTGAATCTCTAGCCATGATAATTCTGACAGTTCATCTCTTTCTATCTCAAGCTTTTACAAGACATCTCTATAGGCTCTGTGCCTACCTTCTTATAGGCTACGAAGTCGCCTGTCAGTTTACTGAGCGGCATCAACTGGAAGCCAATGTTGTGTTTTAAGTGGTAACATATCTTCATCTCTATTATATCTGAATGGGATGGTGTAGGCCTACGACCTCGGGTTATAGTCACAATGCAGCTGTCATGTACGGTGACATAATGTCCTGGAGACTACAGTTATGCAAGTGCCGTTAACACTCCAATCCGAAGTCCGCCCATGGAGTAGGGTCAACCAACTTTGTTGCACTATACTCTGGTCTTTCACCCGGCGTTTTGTCATGGTTAATTGTCATGGCTTTCCCTAATAGGCAACCCTGCAATAAATGGGCTGTGCAAGTCTACTTTCTTGTATCTTCACCTGGGAGAAAACTCGGGAAATGATAGAAGATACTGCTACTTTGGAATCAATCTGTGATCTTAGGTACATCTTCTTGAAGGATTATGAGTAGGTATTTAGCCAGAAATATCCAATGTTTGTACTTCCTATGACTTCACTGTGTATAGGCACCCAAATAGGAAGATAGGCTCATTCCTGTCATACATAATCGGAGACAACTATCAAGGCGGACACCCATGGCTATTTCATATCACTGACACGACTTTCATAACCACGTCTGCCCAATCTCGGTATAATGCTATCCTGTAAAAATATGGTTTCAACAATGTTGCCGCATACAACCAAGCAACTCGTGACTAGTCGATCTGTTAATCATGATAATCTATCTCTACCTAACCCTATATTTCATACCTAGTGTTTTATGTATAGGAGTTCTGACACGAAGTTCTAAGTTATAAGTAGCATATGCAGGTTTAATTACGATGATTTCTCTAACGGCAACTCACTTATATGCTGTATCCTGCCCGGGAGACAGGATTCCTAAACATTTTCGAGACATTCTATTTTGAAAATACCCCGTCTACAATGGAAGAGTCAAAAATTCCCATAGCGAGCAAATTTCCACTCGGCACCTAATCCACCTTCAAGGTGGATCAAGTTCACGATCTGGCCCGACTAGCTCATCGGTAGAGCGCCTCACTAGTATATCATCTCTACTCGAGAAAGATAACGTTGCAATGAGGAGGCAACAGGTTCGATTCCTGTGTTGGGCATCGCTTTTTCTCTATTTGAATGCAGTTGCATTCTTTTTCTACGCTGGGTTCCTGGCAAAACGACAACTGGCTTCGTGTCGGGAAATCATTTCTTCTTTTTCTCACTCAGGCGTACCTGAAATGACGAATGGATGAAAACTGATGGGTTATTTAAGTAGGAGAAAACAGTGACAACTGTGACTTGCACGTCACGAAGATCGAATTTCCTTCTTACGGTCCGGCGTGAGATGCGCCACTATGGGTCCTCTAAGCTACCTAGGTAGACACAGTTCTTCATTCACGGTAACATCTTCGACTGACCACAGCATCAGGCAAGATGGCCGAGTTGGTTATGGCGTAGGATTAAGGTGTTTCAATCATCTAATTTCCTATGGAGCAATCCGCGTGGGTTCAAGTCCCACTCTTGTCATATCTTTTCATTTTTCCTTTCAAACAAATTTTCTTTTGAAGAAAATGTCTATACGGCCTTTGATATGGGTTTTGGCGTTTGTACGCTATAGCCGAGCTGGCAAGGAGCAAACAACGTTGATTGGTGGAGTCCGGCAAGCTAGTCTTTGACAGAGTTGACCAAGCGAGATACTGAATGCCCTTGAATACAATAGGCACAATTGGATGTAGGGGAGCGTTGCGTAGTCAAGCCAGGTGAATCTACCCACAATACCTAAAACACACCGAAGGTGTGGTGTTCTATCGCCATAATCTTGGCGGGATTGTAGGACATATGCAGCGCTACCTTCCTTGCAATCCGCTTCCAGGCGATGAGAAAGCTCGGTACAAGAGAAGCCCGCAGTATATTGAATAATGAGGGATTCCGCGGCGGCTATGAACAAGATGGCAATAGCTGCAGATGATGTCGCGGACCTCTCGTGGCACGGCCGAACCCAGCTACATCATGGTAAATTGATGCTGGTGAATGGACTAATCGTGGGAATGTATACTTTGCAATGCACCTTTCCCATAGGGCTGGCTTGAAGAATCGTAGGTAACCTCACAGCCCTCATAAGAGGACATGGAGAACCTGGAAGTGTAATAACCCAGCAGCAGGGCTGTTGGTAGGTACCAATCAGCAGGGAGTTGCAGAGGTCTAGACGCTGAACTCGGCAGGCTCGGTTGCCATCGCCCCGCATTAGCCACCAGGTTAGGCAGGAGGGTCCTCGTTTTCAGGGGTCTTCAGTATCATTATGGCCTATCGATAGGTACCGCGCCACTGTTACATAGGTGCATAGGTGCATTCCAAACTAGGTAGACCTACATGAAAATGGCACCACCGCCGCTCAGCCTCAGCTCGATATCTCTGAGCTTAGGCAGCAATACGATTTTCCTTCTTATTTTGTTTCCAATCAGCTGAAAATATAACATAGGATATCTTGGGAGCCGTCATTGCATTCACGGGTTTCGGGCCCTTTTGTGCATTCCCATTCTCGTGAACAATGGGCAAGCCTTCAGGTCTAGAGGGCTGCAAGGCACCGGCCGACGCTGTGTCGCTGCACACAAACCCAGGCGAGAACTCCAGAGATAGTTATAACGATACCGAAATCCTCGACACTCCCGATCTTGCAATTGATGACCTACCTCCAAACTACACCGAAGCCGCACCGATGCTGCCGCCGGACATTGCATCGACGACTGTACCGAGCACTGGCCGAGCTGCGGCACAGCAACCATACGTCGAAGATGCCACCTTCTTCGAGGATAAAAACACTGGTACACAGTTCTGGCTGGCTAAGAGTCTTGAAAACCCGAAAGCTCTTGAAAAACACATTCGACACCTCGCTACCATCGCCCCGCGGCCCTTCATCCAGCTCGTTGGTACGCACACGGAAACGACGAAAGACAGCAAAGGCAAAACGGAGAAGAACACCGTCACCGACTTCGACGTCTCTGTTGAGCTGACGCCCTTCCTATACTCGGACGCCCGATATCACAAATCATGGAGCTATCTGCGGACGGTGGATAATGGCGAGAAGACGCGGCGTGGCACAATACTAAAGAAGCGTGCCCCTGGCTCGGTTCAGAACATCGAGGTTGGCGGCGACCCGAAGCCGACGCTGCAGGAGTGGTGTCACCGTTACGCTGCTAGCCATGCCGGCCTAAAGGTCTTCGCACTTTCTCGGAGGATGGTTGGGTTCGACGAGGAGCGCGTCAAGCACCGATTACGGCAACTGGTCAACGAGACGAACTACCGCGGTCACCTCAAGGTTGAGCTCGTGACCAAAGATTCGCTGGTCGAGTGCTACAACGACACCAAGATCAATCATTGGCGCTTGACGTCGTGGATACAAATGCTCTGCATCTTTACCCTCATGTTCATCTTCACCTGGCCGTACCTGTGGCTGCGGACCAAGAGGTGGGAGGTTGTTGTCGCCGAGTGGCCGTTTTCGCGGATGGCCGAGGGCGGCGGCAAGGAATACGTGAGCATTAGCGAAGACCAGTGGTATAACATGTGGGGCCGCGCCATCTGCAAAGCCGTACTGGAGAAGCGGCAAAAGGTTTTGGATCAGTCTGACTTGAGACGGGCAGAGGAGCCAGAGCCGGCCTTCGAGACTGGCAATTCCACCGTTGATGGAGCCCTTGGACTGTTCCGAGTCGGCATCAATGCTATGAACGAGGTGAATAGGCACTTGGGCTGGGGCGGAGACTGCTAGAGGCGTTCTCTAGGAGCCTTGCACTCTCGAGGATATCTACGTCGATATTTGATATATGCCATACTGGGCTTCTGTTTCGGTCTCTTAACATTGCTAGCGTCTTTATGGGCGAAGTTATTCATTGTTACCATCATTCTCGGTAGGATAGGTGTGTCGCTTCTATTGGGTTCGTGATTAGATAATGAAGACGAGGACCATTTACCTAAAAGGGAAAGAGACTAAATGGGACGTGTTATTCGCACGTGCTGACTTTCCTTCTTCACACTGTATTCTGCCTGTAGTTACTGCTTTCGTATACAGTGTATCAGCTGAGCAACACTGTAAATCTTCGTCTAAGCACTGTAAGCTACGGTAAGTCATCTTCATACTTATGAGTTGCGATTTCTAATGAACTGGTGGCAGCGATGGTGTATATAAGGTAGCAGCATCGTGCGTATATCGTATTAGAGCGTCTGTGGCGAAACAATTGCTTGTATAGAGATGGCTCCTATTCGTGTTGCGCTTATTGGACTCTCCTCGTCGGCAAAGACGTCTTGGGCTGCCCAAGCCCACTTGCCATATCTCCTGTCTCCACGAGGAAGAGCTCACTACAAGATTGTGGCCTTACTCAATTCATCTATCCATGCTGCAGAAACTGCGCGCTCGGACTTCGAACTTCCATCAGACGTAAAGGCCTTTGGCGACCCGAATGCCCTGGCTGCCGATCCCGATGTCGACCTTGTCGTCTGTTGCACCCGAGTGGATACCCATGGTTTGACAACAGGCCCCTCTCTACGAGCGGGAAAGGCTGTCTATATAGAGTGGCCTTTGGCCGAAGATTATCAAAAGGCAGTCGCTCTGACGGAGGAGAAACGACTCGAGAACAGCATCATTGGGCTCCAGGGACGCGTTTCGCCGATTGTCCTCAAACTCAAGGAGATCCTCAAGTCAGGACGCATAGGCAAGGTGCTCAGCAGCGATATTCGCGCTTATGGCAATCTTCGGTCCAGGGAATCTCTGTCGGAGGGTCTGTCCTACTTTGCAGATCGAAAAGTCGGAGGTAACTCCATGACTATCGTATACGCGCACACAATCGACTATGTGCACGAAGTCCTTGGAGAGTTTTCGTGCTTTCAGAGCCGGATGCAGATTCAGCGACCCGTCGTTAAGATCAAGGGCAAGGATGGTTCTTACATTGGAGAGAGACGCAGTGATGTGCCGGACCTCCTTGTAATCCACGGCAAGCTAGCCCAGGGGAAGGCAGACATTACGAAAGATGCCACGTTGTCTTTGACTTATAGAAGTGGGCAGCAGTTTAAAGGAACACCGGGCTTCGTGTGGACTATCAACGGCGAAGCGGGCGAGATCATGGTGACGGCCAACGGCGCGTACGTGCACTCAGACTCTTACAGAGAGCCGATTGAGATCAAGATTCATGACTTTGCTACGGATGAAGTGGTCGACGTGGAATGGGATTGGAAAGACTGGCAGAAGGAGCTGCCATACCATTCTCGGATCGTGGGAGAGTTGTACGAGAGGTTCGCGCATTGGTGGGAGGATGGAAAACCCGCCGGGGATCTTCCAGATGACCAGAACTGGCCTCGGCTCCACGATGGTCTCGCGAGAATGGCGGAGTTGGACGAGCTTTTCAAGCAATACGATGCGCAGAACGCCGTGTGAGGCGTCACAATCAACTTTTGTTGTAATCAGCGTCCTCGTGCCTGTATCCTGTACGGAATGTTCCTAGCGAAAGTAATAGCTGTACGTTACACTGAACTTGTTCTGAATTATCACTCAATGTCTTCAACCACTTGATACATTGTTATACTTTCAGAGTAGCCGATGAAAGGTAAATTCCTCTATCCATGTTCATGTAGGGTTCATATGTTAGTATTTCACTGTTTGACGAACTCGCAGTTTCGGCATCGTGTATGATCTGAATGCAATTTGAACCATTTCTAGCGTTTGCTTGAGGGCCGCTCACCGAATCTGGATTTGGATCCTCAACTACCTATCAAAATGACGAGGCCCCCTCTTTGCCACTAATGCAAGCGAAGGTTCTAAAGCTTGCTAAATAACACGATAAGGCGTTTGGATAAGTGCCTAACGTGTTTCGGATGGATAATCGTGTCGAGTTAGGGCGTAGGACCGAAGAAAAGTCGGGGTCTAACGGACCCGGCGCCGTCGACCCTTATTTAAGCATTACACGCCATTGGTCGAGGCAGCCCGTTTGAGACGGGCCGAACTTATTCGGAGGCGTCGATCTTTTCGCCTTGAAGACTTTGTAAGCCGGGTTGGCCGATCATTTTCTGAGTCGCAACATTCTTGTCAACCTGAAAATCATGAAATCTTAGCTAGGTACCTCCTGTATGATTT